GATTTGAATTTGCCTCAGCCATATGCATTCAATTATCACTTTGACAACGGCGTGTTTCGGGGACTCGCTTTTGCCAACTTCCAGTCTGCTGAGGACACCAGGGTCGTTATCGAAGCCATGAACGGCATGGATGTCCACGGACGAAAGCTTCGAGTCGAATATAAGAAAATGCTGCCAGAAGCCGAACGGGAGCGCATTGAACGAGAAAAACGAGAGAGGCGTGGACAACTCGAGGAGCAGCATCGTGCTCCAATTCTTCATCAGCAGAGCTCCATTCAATCACTGAGTAGCATGTCGCAGACGCAACAGCGAACACCGTCATCTCACCTGGGTACGTGTGTGATTTATTCCAGAGCAGGCCCATCGCTTGCCAATGCATACCATCTCGATACTAACCTGCTCTGTAGGAGATGTCGATTTGAACGACCCCCAGAGCCTCGAATTTTACACTGAACTGGTCATGTTCAAACGAGATGATAGTCGTGAGATTTTGGTGTTCCCTGCCGGTATTAGCCCAGAACACCGGCGATCCATCCATATCTTAGCTCACCACATGGGCTTGGAGCATCAATCCATCGGTGAAGCTGACTCACGGCAAATTACGGTGTTGAAGCGACAACAGCCATCCCCCACAGCCAACATCCAAAACGTTCCAGCCAACAGCCTCGACGTGCACAAGCGTGGCTTGAGCCGGGCGGCAACGTTCGATTTTGCCGCAGATCGGGAATCTCGAGCCGCAGCCAATAATTATTCGCATGTGATGGGCCGGCAAGGTCCCACGCTGGAGCTTCCAGGGAGTCCCGACGGTAGCGGTGTTCCTAATAATCTACGGGCAGCGAAGAGCTTTGCCGATCTTAGGTCATTCACGCCCAGCCCTTCGCAAGCCTCCTCCAGTTATCTCGCCCCAGGTAGCGGTCTGAACAACATGGTTCCAGGCTCCACTGCTCGATTCGGCGACTACCAGCCTGCCCACCCTGGAAATCCAGGAACACCGGGCCCCAAGGGTGATAGTCTTATCGCGGGTCTCAGCGGATTGAACCTCAGCCCTTACGACTCGAACCCGCTACAATCGCAGGGCAGGAACGCTCCAGGGGCTATTGGCAGCCAGCGTCCTGGTGTCGCCAGTCACAAGGGCGCTCCTGAGAGGCAGCCTCGTGGTCCCGAATGGGAGTCGACGGGTGGCTTTGGCGGCCGTGGTCGATCTAACGGACATATGCAGCGAGGCAGCGGTACGTTTGGGGTGACATGCGTGTATATCGATGTGCAAAGCTAATATGTGCCAGTAGATTCATCAGATAGTGGTGCCCGTGTGGCCGCTAATCCCACTGGTGCCTCTAGGTATCACTAAAACACCACCCCGAACGCCTACGACTTTTCCACGAACCCTCAATTACGAAGCGATGTGGAGAAGCTAAGCCGATTTGCGGCTTCTCAAGCTAACGATATTTTGTAATATTGACATTTCTTTTCCGGACGCTTGACGCGAAATTGTCTTTGCCCGTTTTTGGAAATCCCCCTAACACACTACATATCTATATATATAGTCACCATATTTTTTTTTATGAAGATTGTCGATCGAAGCAATGTGGTGCGAGCCATTTGCTCATGTATCGACGCTGATGATGATGCCAAAGCCTCAAGGAGAGTATGGGGTACGGACCAGGATACAGCATTATTCAACACATGGGCGACCATTACGAAAGATGACGACTTGCTTCCAGACGCACCTTGAAGCTTGTTCATTGTACCTTTTGCCGACAAGATCTATGAATAAAACTACAAAACCATTGATGATGACGACGTTTTAACGACTTTCACGTCTAGACAGCCGCACCAACTGCACCTGGCGAACGCTGCCTCGCGCCAGCAGTGGCGGGAGTTGGATCGGCGATGAGCACGATCACAGTATACCCACCATAATACCCTGTCTGGCGTCCAGTTACGACCGTGACGACAACGAGTGAGACTTCATTTGGGCCTCTTTCATGTTTTCGGTAGGAGACGATTCGAACGTGAGGACGATTGCAGGCGAGAATGCGTTTAGCATGACAAAGCGGAGGAGACAATTATTTGTTCAGTACAAGTGGTGGAAACTGGCATGACGCGAAGAAAATAACGACAAAAAAAGTCTTTGTGTTGCTGCATTCATGTTTGAAATTTGGTTAATCATGCTTTTTGTTGTTGGGTCTGTGGTTTCCCTCCATAGGCTCAGCTCAGTGCGGTCCATGGCAGGATATAATACGCCATCACTGAGTATGCCGTTACACTTTGACGGTATACGATGTCGTGGTGCTTCATATTCGGATATCTCGGTTGTTCAATTACTTGCCTCCCATGACAGGTGGCTTTTCTCCCTAGCTTTGTCGATTGCACAACTCCAAGTGGACTCGTTTTGCATTCATTCTGCGACTGGAAGGAGAGATGAGCAAGGTGTCTCGGCATTACAGACATGCTGCTTGCACAATCACACAAGCAAGCCATCTGAATGTAGAGTGGCGTTGAGGGCTGCATTATTGTGTTGGATATCTGGTTTTCTTATCAGAGTTGGAAGTGTGAGCATGAAATTTGGCTGTGGTGCGGTTGTGGTGGTGGAGGTGAATTGGGAAGAGTATGAAATTTTTTTTTCTTGGTTGAAATACAGACAGGAGCAAAGTGATACACAAAAGGGTTTCTCGGAAACACAATGAGAGGTGAATTAATGGGAGTGAGACTGCGGGATTGGGATTGAGCCTTGATGGCTAGCGATGGGAGACAAGGGAGCGAGAGGCGAGAGGGAAGTGGCACGAGAGTAGCGAAGCACGGCAGCTGTGTACGAATTGTCTCTTGAGTATTGCAAAATAAATCATGTTATGGAACTTGCAGTGCCTGGCACCCTGGTGACGGTTGGATCGAGGCCCATTGTTTACCGCGCAGCCGGAAAGTTCGGATGGTTGGCGGCTTCATCCTTGTCCGGGATGCTGGGTTGGAGTTTTGGAGTCTTGACGGTTGACGAGAGGATTCGCGGCTCAAGCAGCGAGGTTGCCATGAGCACATGTGCTTTGTGAGGGGGTTGTGATAATTCGGGACATGGAGGCGAAATCTGAAACGCCCTTGACACCCTAATCGATGCCCATTGACGACTGGCTGTGTGATTGGGCCCGTCTTCGCAACACGTCATCTTGGCCCAACGGAGTGCCTGGTGTGTATAACTACCTACCTAGGTACGGAGTACTCATCTTTACCATTTCCCCGTCATTCGGTGATTCGTTTTGACCCCGAGAAACCATCTCGGCAGCTTTTCCTACACCGATTTCTTATTTCGTTTTTTTTTTTTTTGATTTTGATTTCCAACGCGCGGCCTAATATTGCGCCGGCCGAGCGAACGAATTTGTGGAGAGATCGGAAGTTCCGGTCCTCGAGGCAGAGACGTATAACTAGGCCCCCCGATGCCACTGGCGTCCTGGCTCCCGGGATTCCTGGGGGGCAACTCGGGACACGGAGAGCCAGCAGCAGCCATGGCACCAGACAAGATGAAGCAGTGGACCACGGGGCTAGACGGCATCGACAAGCTGCAGATGGAGGAGGCGGATGTGCCGAGCCCGGGCGAGGGCGAGGTGCTGGTCAAGATTCACGCCGTGAGCTTGAATTACCGCGACAAAGAGGGTGAGTCCGCCCCATCCCCGGCGATGGCGAAAAGGCCAAGTCCCTGACTGACCTCGCGCGCCCAGTCTGCAGCGGCGAGTACGACCACCACGCGTCGAGCGAGCCGGCGCGGCGCCTGGTCCCGTGCTCCGACATGTGCGGCACCGTGGTCGAGAGCCGGTCCGGCCTGCTCGGCAAGGGGGCCCGCGTCGCGTCCATCTTCCTGCAGACCCATCTCCGGGGCGCGGTGCGCGAGGAGGACATGGCCAGCGGGCTGGGCCTGCCGCTGCCGGGGGTGCTCGCGCAGTACCGCGTCTTCGCGGCCGCCTCGCTGGTCCGCGTGCCGGGGTACCTGACGGACGAGGAGGCGAGCTGCCTGCCGGTCGCGGGCGTGACGGCGTGGACGAGCCTCAACTGGATGCGGCCGCTGGGGCGGCACATTGGTACACGCGCCGACGACGGGGAGCACCCGGACCCGGACCCGGGGTCGCGGTTCGTGCTGCTCCAGGGGACGGGCGGCGTCGCCGTCGCCGGCCTGCAGGCCGCCCACGCCGCGGGCTACCGGACCATCGTGACGTCCTCGTCCGACGACAAGCTGCGCCGCGCGGCGGACGAGCTGGGCGCCGACCACACCGTCAACTACAAGACGTACTGGGAGTGGCAGGGGCCCGGCGCGGGAGGG